TGCAGCAGCTTCTGGTGTTTCTACGCGTGGAGAAGATGGTTCAATGGTGGCACCGGCTGAGCTGCGCAATGCCCTCGTGGAGCATTTTGCACCGCAGGCGAGTCTGTTGGGGGGAGATGTTTGGTTTCGTGAAGAGTTCGTTTCAGTTCTTAACAGTTTCTTTGGGTAGCATCACAGAATCTGTTCGGGGGGTGGTTTGACAGTTCTTTGCAGAGGAATCTGGCACCTAACATTTCTTGTGGTCTTGGCACGGAGTGTTATAGGGATATAACTATAGATTGTTGTGCGGATACTTGGTTATTGATGAGTTTTGTGTCTGTTGGCAAAGTTCGTTTCATGAGTTATGTTACTTCAAGAGCCCGCGTGCACCACAATTTCAGAGCCTATGCGGTGGCAGGAGCGTGGAGATGTGGGCGGCAGTATTTCGGCACAGGTGGAAGAGCTTCGTATGGACGCCAGCAGCAAAGGACGCACGTGGCTGCAAGAGAAGATGGCGAGCATGACGCGGGATGACTTGCAGAAGGTTGCAGCAGCTTCTGATGTGTCGACACGTAGACGAGATGGTTCAAAGGTGGCACTGGCTGAGCTGCGCAATGCCCTCGTGGAGCATTTTGCACCGCAGGCGAGTCTGTTGGGGGGAGATGTTTGGTTTCGTGAAGAGTTCGTTTCAGTTCTTAACAGTTTCTTTGGGTAGCATCACAGAATCTGTTTGGGGGGTGGTTTGACAGTTCTTTGCAGAGGAATCTGGCACCTAACATTTCTTGTGGTCTTGGCACGGAGTGTTATAGGGATATAACTATACTGCAAGAGAAGATGGCGATGATGAAACAGGGTGACTTGCGGAAGGTTGCAGCAGCTTCTGGTGTTTCTACGCGTGGAGAAGATGGTTCAATTGTGGCACCGGCTGAGCTGCGCAATGCCCTCGTGGAGCATTTTGCACCGCAGGCGAGTCTGTTGGGGGGAGATGTTTGGTTTCGTGAAGAGTTCGTTTCAGTTCTTAACAGTTTCTTTGGGTAGCATCACAGAATCTGTTTGGGGGGTGGTTTGACAGTTCTCTGCAGAGGAATCTGGCACTAACGTTTCTTGTGGTCTTGGCACGGAGTGTTATAGGGATATAACTATAGATTGTTGTGCAGATACTTGGTTATTGATGAGTTTTGTGTCTGTTGGCAAAGTTCGTTTCATGAGTTATGTTACTTCAAGAGCCCGCGTGCACCACAATTTCAGAGCCTATGCGGTGGCAGGAGCGTGGAGATGTGGGCGGCAGTATTTCGGCACAGGTGGAAGAGCTTCGTATGGACGCCAGCAGCAAAGGACGCACGTGGCTGCAAGAGAAGATGGCGAGCATGACGCGGGATGACTTGCAGAAGGTTGCAGCAGCTTCTGATGTGTCGACACGTAGACGAGATGGTTCAAAGGTGGCACTGGCTGAGCTGCGCAATGCCCTCGTGGAGCATTTTGCACCGCAGGCAAGTCTGTTGGGGGGAGATGTTTGGTTTCGTGAAGAGTTCGTTTCAATTCTTAACAGTTTCTTTGGGTGGCATCACAGAATCTGTTTGGGGGGTGGTTTGACAGTTCTTTGCAGAGGAATCTGGCACCTAACATTTCTTGTGGTCTTGGCACGGAGTGTTATAGGGATATAACTATAGATTGTTGTGCAGATACTTGGTTATTGATGAGTTTTGTGTCTGTTGGCAAAGTTCGTTTCATGAGTTATGTTACTTCAAGAGCCCGCGTGCACCACAATTTCAGAGCCTATGCGGTGGCAGGAGCGTGGAGATGTGGGCGGCAGTATTTCGGCACAGGTGGCAGAGCTTCGTATGGACGCCAGCAGCAAAGGACGCACGTGGCTGCAAGAGAAGATGGCGAGCATGACGCGGGATGACCTGCAGAAGGTTGCAGCAGCTTCTGATGTGTCGACACGTCGACAAGATGGTTCAAAGGTGGCACTGGCTGAGCTGCGCAACGCCCTCGTGGAGCATTTTGCACCGCAGGCGAGTCTGTTGGGGGAAGATGTTTGGTTGGGTGAGGAGTTCGTTTCAGTTGTTAACAGTTTCTTTGGGTAGCATCACAGAATGTGTTTTTTGGGGATGCACTGACAGTTCTCTGGACAGGAATCTGGCACCTAACGTTTCTTGTGGTCTTGGCACGGACTGTTATAGGGATATAAGTATAGATTGTTGTGCAGATACTTGGTTATTGATGAGTTTGGTGTCTGTTGGCAAAGTTCGTTTCATGAGTTATGTTACTTCAAGAGCCCGCGTGCACCACAATTTCACAGCCTATGCGGTGGCAGGAGCGTGGAGATGTGGGCGGCAGTATTTCGGCACAGGTGGAAGAGCTTCGTATGGACGCCAGCAGCAAAGGACGCACGTGGCTGCAAGAGAAGATGGCGAGCATGACGCGGGATGACTTGCAGAAGGTTGCAGCAGCTTCTGATGTGTCGACACGTAGACAAGATGGTTCAAAGGTGGCACCGGCTGAGCTGCGCAATGCCCTCGTGGAGCATTTTGCCCCGCAGGCGAGTTTGTTGGGGGGAAGGTGTTTGGTTTTGTGAGGAGTTCGTTTCAGTTGTTAACAGTTTCTTTGGGTAGCATCACAGAAGGTGTTAGTGTGGATGCAGTGGGAGCAGTTGTGTGGATAGTCGTGTTTGGGGAATGCTCTGATAGTTCTCTGCACAGAGGATTTTGCTCGCGGCAGGATGATGATGTGCATGCATTGAAAGCTAGACTAGAGCAGCTTCGTATGGATGGCCGTCGGGAAGGCGTGACGTGGCTTCGAAAGGTTTTTGGTGAGATGGAAGAGCATGCGCTGCGGTCCCTGAGCGCAGCTGCTGGCTTGGGGCTTGTCGATGGCAGCGGAAAGTTGCTTCCTAGCGCCAAAGTTCGGGCATCGTTGGTGAAGTATCTGGCTCCTGAGGCGGGGGATTGAGGATGAGAGATGGAATGTTTTTGTTGTTTTGGTGGAATGCTGAGAGACTGAGTGTTGTCAAAAAGGATGTCAGCAATGCATTTCAACATCCTGACATTTTCAGAGCTTGAGAAAATTTGCAACTTCACCTACTAGTTATGTCAAAACAAGCACAGCTTTCGTTCTGATTGTCGGTCAGGATAGAAAGGATGATCGGAATGATATCGGTACAATACTTTGGTGTTGGGTGTCGCAATGCTGTGAGAGCGACGCAGCACTTGGCACGGAATTGTTGCGGCAAACAGTGGCGTCGAAGGAGCACAGGACAAGGCTACTGTCGATTTTGTCCGGCAAATCATTGTCTACTGTGGAAGGATTGCATTTGAGTGACGAGCACTTATGCTCGCGTGTTGTGGATGCCACGTTGCCTGTGCTGGCTGCCATCGAAGCTGCCAGGTCACGCATGCCGGTTGCACCGCCCAAGGACTTGCTGGATGTGCCTGGAATTTTTACTTGCCTTGGAACAGAGAACCTTTCGCGGCACCAGAGCATTGCGTTGTTAACGTGTTTGCTAAGCTGCCGGGACATTGTGTCGATGCAGAAATTAGGTTGGAGCGTTGGGATGCGATTGGTGGGATCCGAAGTTTGAAAATCAAACTACTTGACAGAGTAAGAGAATTGTATTTTGCTTCAAGCAGATAGATATACCCTGTTGCAGGTGCTTGGAGTCGCCTTGTGGATTTTCCACGTGAACACGATGTTTATGATGTCGCTGCACGCCCATGCGTAGCGTAGCATCGCATCATGTCTTGCAGTACTGACGAATGATATCACACCTCACCCCACCCCACCCCACCCCACCCCATGCGTAGTGTCGCATCGATCATGTCTTGCAGTAATGACGAATGATATCACAACCCACCCCACCCCACCCCATGCGTAGCGTAGCATCGCATCATGTCTTGCAGTGTTGACGAATGATATCACACCCCACCCTAACCCCATTTTGTGGGCCGGTAAAAGGTCCGTCTGCTTAAACAACAACTGCAACAAAACTACAACATTCACCTTGGCAGCAAACATCCAATCATTCCATGGTTGGTTCGACACAGTGTACCTGCTCAACAGGTACTCGGTCCACGCGGACGGCGACACCAGCTACTACAGACGCTGGAACAAAGACAGCAGATTGAAGATGAAAAATGCAGTATTGGAATTAAATCCACGTTTGAATACAAATTGTTCCAAATCTCAATCGCAAAAGTTTTCCCCACAGATTTGTTCGATTTTTCCAGATGTGTTTTCCAATTCTTCTATGTGGTTCCCTTAGCGGTGGTGTCTGGTTGCGCCTTGGATTTCCATGGTCTCTTTGATATCCTTTCGATTTGTTTCCGCTACTGGTGGTGTCTGGTTTCTCCTTCGGCCACCTCATCTTGTTTTATTTCATCTCAAGTCATTTCAGGTCATGACATTTTGTCTTAATTTGCCTGCATCTTATCTTATTTCATGTCAATGCATTTTTTTGTAATCTCAAGTCAGTTCGTCTCATCTGAACTCATCTCATCTCATGTCTTGTCATTTAATCTCATTTGATCATCTAATTTTATCCATCTGCAGTCATCTCATGTAATTGTACATCATCTACATTCATTTCATGGCATCTCAAGTCATCTCATCCCATCTCATGTGATCTTGTTCCTAGGACTTATGACTGCAGTATAGTTCGCAGATGTCCGGCCTCGGAGGACTCCCTGGACTCCGTGTCGGAGAGGACAGGGTCCTCGTCCGACACCTAGGCGGAGTGCACTGTGGATGAGACTGAGGAGGATGGCAGGAGGACGATGGTGATGATGATGATGATGATGTCGACGTAAGGATGAAGAAGATGGTAGAAATACCTTCGAATTAAGAAGCACCAAGGAGCCTCGAGCTGCGCCATGGCAGGCGAGAAAGATGCCATGGTCAAAACAAGTAAAGGTTTAATTTGTTCAATGTAGTTCGAGATAAGACAGCCAGGTTGGGGTGTGATTTTAGGACTGCTCGCTTTAAGGCTAATTTGTTTTTTTTCCCAGGGCAAATGTGGCCTGGGCATATGGATGTTGTGTGCGCCGAAAGAATACCGTTTTTGTGCCTCATGTGCCCCGCCGGAGAAGCCACAGCATGGCAATCAACATGTTTCAAGCGACATCATGTTTTCAGCAAGCCCAAAATAGCCACCAGCTTCCTCTTTTTCGGACAGTCATGTGTCATCCGAGCTCTGAAGCTCTGTCCATTGGTTGAGTGGAATCACATCATTGTTGCTTCCGCATAGCCTCAAGCCATGGTATTTTCAACGTCACGTACGCCTCCGGCGGGCAATCGCCAGAGCAAAGGTTGTGGCCGTCAGAAGTTCTGAAGCCTCCTGAGTCGTCGGTCATGATCAATTACAGTTGTCACAGGTGTCGATCGTCGTCGTCTCCGTCACTCTGCTCAGCATCTCATAGGTCTTTACTGCTGATTTGTGGAGCCTTTTGCTGCCTTTTGTGTTCATCACAATGTCACCCAAAGTTGCCAAACACTCCTCATGAAGCGGTCCCAAATGGCAAGAACAATAGCGGAAGGTGACGCAAGCTGACAGTTTATCCAAGTAGTTCGAGTCATCGGAGTGAAGAATGTCCAGGAGATCGCGGAGCAAGTAGGTTTGTGCGTCTTTGTCAGGAACTTTGAACAATTTGGATGCAAACTTGCAAACCAACACGGGTAATCTATGACCAAATTGTACGGTTGAAATCTTGGAGTGGGTTTGCAGTCCAGCGAGAATCTTCATGACAGCGGAAGAGTTGATCTGCCACCAATGCTCGATGTGCCCTTTCAGAAACAACGAGACAATACCTCGAATTCGTGCTTGCAGCTCGTAGCCAAGGTCTTGCTTAAATTGCAGTTTATCGCTGGCTTCCACGACGCCTGCCATCGCTATGTACACCTCTGGCCTGCCAGAACAGTGCAGGCAGTACTGATCGGAAATGTGTTTGAACATGTGTTTGCAAATGTGCACAAGAAACATGACTATGCTGCTATGCTCGTTGCTCGTGGACCCGTAATCAGCCTGCTAGGGTTCACAAGGTAGGCAAAGTGGTCCACAAGCACCTGGAACACGGCTTGCCCCTTCCCCACGGGCACATGCTTAGGAAAGAAAGGGCAACTGCGACAGCTGTGGCACCTGTGGAGCCGACAAGCACTGGCAGGAAGCACGAAGTGAGCACACATCCCTCACCTAACAGCGCTAAGTCAACAGGTGGTGCCTGAATGCTGAACATATGAGCGACGACGTTTATTTGATACTTAGCGAAAGGAATGAAGATCTGAGGGGTCCCCCCGCATCGTTTTGTGAAACTGTCGCAAATTTCATGATGGCTTGTTGCACTGACATCGTTTTCCATTTTCGAGCTTGGCATGAAGCATCCGTATGAATTAAAATCAATATTAATATTATAGTTCCTCTGTTATGAAAATCAATGTCGTTTTTGGAGTCCCCCTACATCATTCTGCATACCACCGTAGATAATTCTTCATTGTGGTAAATAAACGCGGTTGCTCACATATGCAGCCAAGACGCAGCGAGGCATTGCAGCAAATGCGTCTTGGAAAGTCTCAGTACAGGGAAACCGGGCTAGGCCAGAGACCATGGGATCATCACAGTGTCATGCGCAAAGCTATGCATCACTGTCATCACAGTGTTGTCTTCACTCGACTCATCACTGTTCAAGTGGCTCAGTAGGCAAAGCGCAAAAAATAAAGTCCTGGCAGCACCGAATTCAACTCAATATGAAACAATGCCCAACATTAAACTCAGCAATACCGAATTATACTTTGTCTACAGGCTCAAGGCAGAAAAATCACTTTTAAAGGGATGGGTAACAAACGGTAACAGCTATTCTTGTAGAAATTGTTTAAGATTTAAGATATTAATGTCCTGTCATGGTAATCCTCGCCTGCTCTTCTCGAATGTCCTCGCGCCAATGCCCACTGAAAGGCATGGGTGGACACATGCCGTCTCAGGGTGGCAAATGTGGTGGCAAATGGTGGCAGGAAGTCGCTGCAAAAAGCAGAAAAATCATTTTTGAAGGAATGGGTAACGAATGGTTACAGCTATTCTTTTTGCTACAGTAGAACTGTTTCAAGATATTCCATTCTCAAAGAATCATCGTATCTAGAATTCCCAAAAGCCTCAACAAGCAAAGCAAGGCAAAGCAAAGAAAGAAGTGCTGCGTCCTCTTGGAGTGTGGATGCTGAACTGGAACTGACTGAGTCTAATGAGACTCTGCCTGGCCTGTAGCTGCGATGTCGGAGGGTTACGGCTCAGTTGATGCAACAAGCGACTCGTGGAATCCACATCTGCACAACTCATCGTTGCACACAACTAAAGCCGCTCAAGCCTCGTGGCGCCATGAGGGCTTCCAGGCGCATACTCCTATCGGTGTCCCATTCCGAGTCACCACCTAGAACTCAGAAGCACAATGATTCAGTTGATTCTAAGTTGATGAAGATTTACAAAACGCAAAGTCTGTGGAGTAACACGGAATGCCTAGCAAATTCAGAGAAGTAGAGTTCCATGGTTGTTGTTATCTCTGCGCCCAATGAGGACCCGAAAAGAGTCTTCTGCATGCGACAAGTCCTCCACAATCTCTGGAGAAGGTGCTGTCTCGTCCAGCCTTGCCGTCTGGACTCACAACACTCACATTCACATCACCTGACATCGATACATTCGATACATTCGATACATTCCATTTGAGTCAATTTCATGCAAGCCAACCAGGTGCCACTGGGTTTCCGTGCTCGAAGCTGGAGTTCGCCTCAAGAATTTCTCTGGCGACGACGCTTGGCACATCAGTTGGATCATCAGCCGTGGACTCTGTGGACTCTGTGGACTCTGTGGACTCAATTCCAGGGGGTGCTCAGCTCTCGACGGGTGCCTTCCACTCTTTCTCCTTCATTCTGATGTATTCCATCCACCATTGCTCAACTATGCTTGCATCCTGCAACTGAGCCGCTACCCCTGGAATTACCCTTGCATGTTTAAAACAATAACAACAAGCTGCACAACATTCTGAAGGCAAACTTCTCAGGTGATCATCTCCTCAACGGACCACATGCATGTTGAAGTCTCCGACCCATTTGTTGTGGTCGAAACATCTGAAAGCCTGACAAAAAACAAATTGCGCATCTCAAATCAACAGGACCACCCTCGCCAATCAAACAATTTCACGTTTTTGCTGACAAGGCCTGCCGTTGTGCAGAGCACCGCGGTTGGCCTGTGACATGAAGCGACTCAACTGGTCAAAACAGGTCTAAAATGGTCTAAACATGGTCCAAACAATCTGTTTAAGAAGTTTTTCGATGAAGACAGCTCAATGCATTGCCCTTGTAAAAGGAATGCGTTCTGCATTACATTCCATCGCAAGTGTCACTGACTTCTGCCTTGTCATCCATCTTCATCTCAAATTGGAAGTTGGACCTGCGATTGGAAGTGCAACTCGCGGATTCGATCTGTGGACACGGCCAGGCCTGCGAAGTGTTGCTGGCAGCATCCCAATATATTGCACTTCATCGGGTGGCACCTGAAAGGCAATGCCCAAAATGGATTGCCTAAAATGGCTGGAATGCCCAAAATGCCTCTGTGTAATGCCTCTGCGTGAGAGTGATGGTGATGAGGACAACGACAATTTCGACGATGACGATTACAACAATTACAACCATGACGACGGCACGGCAGCAAAATTTTGCACAAAAGAAATCAAAACGTAAATCTACCACGTCCAGGCGCAAGCTCCTATCCCAACATTCAAAAGTCAGATCTTGGATCAGAACCACCTAGGACCACCTAAAATCACCTAACCAATAATCAGATCCATTGTATCCAAGGAAAAAAAGGCCTGGTCCCTGATGTTAGCAACACAGTGAGCAAGTTCAGATGAAATCATTAACAACAAAAAACAAAAACAAAATTAATCAAATGAAATCAAATGAAATCAAATGACATGAAAAAAAAAATATCAAATCAAATCCTGGCAGTTCTCCCATCGGTCGACCTCGAAAGGTTTGGGCGGATGGATCGAGGCCAAGACATCGGCTGCGAGGCCAAACCTGCGCCAGGGGAGCACTCGCTGAAGGCCCAGGTCAAAACAGCAGTTGGGACAAAAGAAGTGATTTTCGAAGGCAAACAGAGGTTCAAAGGTGATTTTGGGACATGGCCGTTGGTGGGAAGCTGTCTTTGCAACAGGGCAACTTGGCAATCACTAGCCATTAAAGATCTTAGACGTCATGACAATCATAGGTCCAGGAGTCAAAAAACCCACCATCTGTTAGGCTGTTTCTATCCAACCTGCTGACGACATATCTATGAATGGTTCATAACTATGTATGTCGTTAGTATTGCGATGCTTTGCTAGTCAAGGTTGCTCTCATGGATGATTACGACCCAGCATCCCCCTATGATATTCACCTGATATTCACCTGAACGCTGCCTCAGTACGATCACAATTTTGGCTCAGCTCCAGGTTGCCAGTTTCACCACTCAGCAAGAACTCTAGAACCGACTATCCTCTTACCGATGCCTCTTGGGTACTATAGTTATACAGTTAATAGTAACATGTAAACGACATGCCCTCACACTAACCACAACAGTGTTCAATACCTGATCAAAAGTGCTGGCTGGTGTGGTACTCAAAAGGAAGGCAGTCACTTCGATGTCAAAAATGAAGCGCCATGCTCCGTAAAAGGAACGATTTTGAGACACGACCACTTTCGAGCGACGAATCAGCATAAAAACAGTCATTATTCAGCACGTAATCATAGAGCACTTGGCTCACCAGTCAACATCAGCTATCATGAGTGGATTAACAGCCATGTGTTCACGATTGATATTTTGACATCATTGCTGCCATTGGGAGTCTATGGTTAACCTGACACAGCCCATGGTCAGAACATAACCGCAGGCCAGGCACAGGCCCGCGAAACAGCTGTGTTGTGAAGAGGCGGGCTGCTCCATCCTTTGCCAAGTCCTGAGACAGTTCCCTGCAGTACCAGTGATGGATACTGCTTGCTACACGAGCTGCTGTGGCTACTGCCATGGTGGATTTCCGGACGTCTTTACACTTGAGCCGTTGGAAATATCCACTTCCCAACCATACTGGCCAAGAGGGCTTCCGGTGATTCTTCACCACCAATGATCAGAACAGTGCTGAAAACAACACACAATGCCACTGTGACTATGTGGCAACACCAACTAACTCGTCACACCTGGTACCACCAGTTCGCTCACGTAACTTGCCTTGAAACACGAGCCCAGGGCCAGGGGCCCCAGTGCAACCCACCGGCCACCATTGCGACGCGAATTCCACGACTGAATTGACGCCCCAAGAAATGGTCTGCGAAAAAATGACGGGTGAAATTTTGGGTCGTCGAACTCCACATGGGAAGAAAACAGCGTTGCACTTTGAGGATTCTTTTTGCTATTGACACGTGAGTCTTAACAGATCAACATGAAAGCACCCATTCGGTAATCTAAAGTCCAATTGAACGTTCACAGTTGAAAGTACGCCAGAGTTTTGCTCAAGTTCTTGTGAAGACTTGAGCCACAAAGCAAAAGGGAATGGTCAGAATGGCTTCGTTCTTGACAGCATCACCGAATGCGGTTAGTTGCGACCCGAAACAACTTGCTTCACAAGGCCAGCAGGGTGGTTTTTGTCTCCGACAACTCAACCCTCGCCGTGCCCCCTCACAATGTCATCCTGCGCCAGCCGGCCCCGTGGGATGTATCGATATGCAAAAATCCTTGGCAGCCAGTTCCCACTCAGCCTTCCTCTCACGTGATCTAAATGATCTTAGGGGCTTCCTGCGTTTCCCTTGAGTTTCCTGTGAGTTTGCTGCTGAATGTCCATGTCTCCACGTCAACATTGGGCTTATCCATGTCCACAAGGACCCCTCGGACTGCACAGAAACAACTCGCCAAAAGTGTCTGGATTCTGCGCCACACCCCGCCATTTCTGACAGGGGTGGTCACGTCTCTCAGCCCTGCGCCTGAAGTTTTTGGAGCCAACAGTAAATCGGTGCCTTGGCAGAAAGGGAGACGATGGGAGATGGGAAGAGAAAAGTTGGGACAGCCGCCGAGCCATGCGTTGTCAGTTTCATGTTTCATCCAAATTCCAAAAGCATCCGATCATCGGCGACTTGGACAATGTCATGAAAATGATGAATGATGAAGCGGCAGCAAAGAGTAGGTTACCTACAAAATGGTATCTGAGGCTTAAGGTATATATAATTTATACATATATACATATATATACATATGTGTGTATATATATATGTAAGTATATATATATATGTATATATATTGTGAAATCAACACTGCCAATTCGCAATGCACATCACCTTATTTTCACTTGAGATCCAAAGAGAAGGGGTTCCAGCTTATCATTCTCCTGCAGCTGGGTGGCTCTGTGAGCCCGTAGTGGAGGGTGAGGATAGCTTGAGCCTGTCCCTTACCTTCGGTGCTTGGTAAGGCGTTACGATCGTGGCCGATTGGACGTTGTGCAATCAACTGGAGGAAAAGAACAACATAGTGCTGCCGTGCAGCTTGGGAAGGGTGTCAGGGACACCATTCAGGTGGTTCAGGGTCCGTTACCAGTTCTAAACTGGTAGCGGAGCCCGGCGACATGTCAGGGACCGCTAGTGAAGCAGCCAGCGACACTCGGCAGGTGCCGAACCAGTTGGCAATCCTTGTGCCAACTTTCGACCCGTCGGTCGACAGCGTGGAAATATGGACCAACAAGGTGGAACTGCTTTTGCTGACGTGGCCATCCAACAAAATCTTAGAGCTAGCAACTCGCTTAGTCCTGGGGTGCAAAGGAACAGCCTTTCAGAAATTGCAGTTACATAGGAGTGAAGTCCTTATCAATGATGCCAAGGGAATTCAAAGGATCGTCGAACTTGTCGGCGGCAAATGGGGTGCAGTGCCGTTGGAGAAGAAGTTTGACATAGTGGAGAAGGCACTGTATCGTGGATCACAGAAGTCTGATGAATCTAGCGACTCATATCTGTCTCGAAATGATGTGATTTGGACTGAATTGATTAGCAAAAAGATTGACTTATCAGAGATCCAAGCCTATATCCTCCTTCGTGGAAGCCGATTGAGCAGCGATGACAAGAAGCGTGTCCTCGTAGATTCAGGTGCAGAAAAGGGGGGTACATTGAATGTCAAGAATGTGGAAGCCGCAGTGAGGATGATCGGTTCAGGATTCTTCCAAGACATGATTGGAAACAAACGTGACAAGGGTCTCAAAACTTATGACCATACAGCTTTCACCATGGAGGACACCAATGAGAACAACTGGGAGACCGATGGTGAGGTCTTCTGGACAGAGGAAGCTTCTTTAGATGAAGGCACCTTAGAAGCGATGGCCGCCGATGATGATGAAGATGCAGCACTAGTACTACAGTTTGAAGATGCAGTATCAGAGATGGTTCAGAACGATACTGAGCTGTGTGCATACTATTCATCATACCAAGATGCCAGAAAACGTTTGTCGGAAAAGGTCAGGTTTCGAGGCTTCTGGAGTGTGAAAAAGGGCGAAAAGGGTTTTGGAGGGAAAGGAAAAGTGAAAGGAAAAGGGAAGTCGTCCCTTGCCAATCGGATCGCCAATTCATACTGCAGACTGTGCCTCAAGAAGGGGCATTGGAAGAATGAGTGTCCATCACGAGGCCAAGGTGGTGGATCAGTGTCAGCCGCCTCAACCGTGCCGACATCGTTTGTGACCGCAGTGGAAGTGTCTCCAGAGATCGTGTCCTTGCCAGTGATCGAGGACCATGATGCATCAAAACACATGGTAGATTGTTTTGTTTCTCAGGTTCACCAGGTGTTTGGTCATATTCTAGGAAAGAAGCAACTCATGTCACGTCATGCCACCAGGAAGATGCCGCGTTCTAGCCATGTGACAAGCCAAGTGCCCAGTGTGAGCGAAGCCTTAGCCGGGTTGCATGTGCGGAGACAAGTCTCTGAGCCCAATCCTTTGGTCAGCCTGGACCACTGCCCCAGCCTGTTCGCATCCGTTGGATCCGTAGGAGTGGTAGACTTAGGAGCTTCACAAACAGTAATTGGCAGCCAACAGGTACCAGAACTCCTTGCTCAATTGCCAGACGGAGTCCGACAGGGTGTGAAGCGAAAGCCGTGCCATTTGATTTTTCGATTTGGAAATCATCAAACGCTCGTCAGTAGGCAAGCCCTTTTGATGCCTCTGGGATCTCAATATTTCCAGGTAGCAATTGTGGATGGTCGAACACCTTTTTTGATTTCCAGCACTTTTCTCAAAGGGATTCAGGCTGTGATTGACACTGATACTGATGTTTTGTGGAGTAAGAAACTGAACAGAGAATTGAAGATAACTCGAACAGCGAAAAACTTACTTCTCATGGATATCAATCAGTTGTGGGAGAGCCCGGAGAATTCCGCACAGTTCAGTCTGATGGCTGAAGAACCAACATGCCTGCAGTCCGATGCCTTGAAAACTTGTGACAGCCGTCCCCATGCCGAAGCCAGCCATGTAGGAAGTCAACAGGCGACAGGTATCAGGTCCACTGTCAATCATGAAGAACCAGGTCATGTGAACATGTCACACCATGAACCACATGACGCAGGAGATTCTGAGGCACTCATGTCCAGTTGTCGGAAAGAATCAAAAGACAGCCTCAGTGAGATTCCCGGTTCAAGCTCAACAGACGCTACTGTCTCAACTTGCCGTGACTGCAGATCCCGTCATGCCGAAGTCGCTGACCGAGAAACTGCAGGCCCTTCGAGCCAAGACAGAGATCGATCAGACAGCAGACCAGCTCGAGGAAATCAAGAAGATGTCCCTTCCCCAGCTGGAAAAGGAAGCAATCCAATTTGGAAAGGCCAAATTGGGCCAGAAGTTCACGGAGGCGTACTCCGACCACAAGTGGACGGAATGGTTTGTGACGCAGTACGAGAAGAGCGACAAAGTGGCCCACCAGAAATTCATCAGCTATGTGGAGAAACGCTTGGACCACGAGATCGAGACAAGTCCCAACAATGTGAAGAACTTCAAGAAGGCAAACAAACCAGTGTCTTCGGAAGCATCGTGGTGTCCAGTGAAAGGGGAAGATCTTCAGAGCGACGACAGTGCAGAAGACATGAGCCAGAAGATCAGCACCAATATGAAAATGAGTGTGATGGAGGACCAAGTTGGAGCTCTGATGGAAGAGAACAAGATGATTCACCATCGCATGGGCAACATCGAGGGAGTTCTGAACGAGCTGATCGAGCATGTGAAAGCCCTCAAGCCGGGATCGTAGAGAGCCAATGTTTTGGGGTTCACAGCAGTATTCATGATGTTGATAATGACTATAACTTCATCAGTCCTTATGAAGAAGTAAATAGATCTTTCAAGAATCAAGTGCAGAAGTTTGTCAAACAGTTTTCCGCCGAATTGCAATCTGTGAAGCCACCCCGATTCCATCAACGTCGGCTCGACCTTTTGGAAGTCATGTGCCATGACCAAAGTGAGCTCACAAAGCAGGCTCAGATGATTGGTGGACATGCTCAGCGGTTTGGACTAACTCAAGGGGATCTGCAAACCACTCAAGGAAGAATGCAGTTATTCACACAATTGATTTCCAAGCGTCCAAAACATGTATGGTACAGTCCTGTTTGCAAACCATGGTGCAAGTGGAATCAGTACAATGAACAGAAATCTATTGACCTTCAAATCAAAATCTTTGAGGCACGTCAAGAACATCTCTGGCAAATTGCATTGGGGATTGTTTTATATCGTCATCAAGTTCAGCGTGGAGATCATTTTGATTTGGAACAACCTGATGGATCTCTCATGAAACAGGTTCCAGGGATGCAGGAAATCGTTGGACAAACCCATCAATGTCGTTTTGACATGTGTGAAGTAGGCAACTTGAAAGATCCTGCGAGTGGTAAAGCCTTGCGAAAGAGAATGGAAGTTCTGTCCACCTCGGATGATTTGCACCGATGCCTGCACCGGCGTTTCTGTTCCGGAAGCCACCAGCATCAACCGATTGCTGGCCAGACACTGGTAGGTCAGACTCGCATGTCCCTCACGGAGTCCACTGAATCATACCCTAAAAGGTTTGCCAGACAAGTTGCTCGCATCATATGCCATGATCAGTCACAGCCGACTCTTGTAGGTGAACTTGCCAATGCCGATGACCAGGACAGTGAACATCCCACCAAGAAGCGTAGGCTAGGACAGAAGATGAGTGCTGCCACCATTGCCCAACGCTTCCAGAGCATCAATTGGCAGACCGTGCTGAAGCTTGCCGATTCCGTAGCTCCTAGAGTTGGCACCATGGTCATCGAGAATGGAC